TAGTTAGTGACTTTCCTTTTAATGTCCCCTTTGAGCCAAGGCAGTGATTTTCAACCACCTGAGACTAGTCCTGCCACCAGGGGACACTGGGCGGTTAGGGACATCTGTGTCTGTCACACTGTGGGGCTCCTGGCATCAAGTGGGTGGGGCCAGGGATGCTGCTCAGCTCCCCTCAGTGCCCGAATGGCCCGCAGAGAGTTACCTGGCCCAATATCGACAGTGCTGTGGGGGCCCTGGACTGAGATTCATTTAGCAGTGTCTCTCCACTTCTGGGCGCTTAAGGATTTTTTTTTTTTTTTTACCCTTTTAGTACTTACTTCTAATTTTATTAAATTTTGGATTAAAGAAAGTGGCCTGAAAAAATCTGTGCTAATTTTTTTAGCAGATAAAGTCTTTCTGGTGAAGAGCCACAGTCGTTTTTCACGTCTGTGGGGGTGAGAGAGAAATGTGTATTCTCCGTGGGGATGGGGAGGTCCCTGTGGGGATGGGGAGTCCCCCATGAGCCCGCTCTGTCCGAGGTACTGATTGCTCCATTCAGTTTACGTCCTTGCTTGTTTCTCATCTGGTTAATTCTACGATTCAGAGTTTTCGTTCTGTTTCCAAAGGCCTTACTTAGCGTTCGTGGCACACATTACCAGGCTGCACTTGGCCATGAAGAGTCTGTTTTACACACACGTGTGTGCACATGCTCACACTCACCGATCTCTGCCCCTGCCCACTTTTTTGCCGATAACTGGAGTTTTGCAGTGTGACACGTGTCTCAGTCTTTGCCCAGAGAAACAGCCAAACCTCAAACATGACGGGGGAACAACCTGGCCACAGTTAGAGGTGCTCTGTCACCCTAGAGCTTGTCATTTTATTCATGAAATGAAAATCTGTGGTGGTCACAGAGCCACCAGCCAAGGCCTGGGCATGAGCCTCACCATCCCTCTGAGCCTCAGTCTCATCGTCTGTGGCATGGGACAGCGGCACCCCCTCCCCCTGAGGGGCGTCACAAGGTTCTCAAGTGGGCCCGGCACAGAAGAACAGTGCCGTGTCCCCACTTTACAGATGAGGAAACTGAGGCTCAGGGAAGGAATGTGAGCTCCGTGGCTGCACAGTGAGTGAGTGGAGAGGCCAGGATGGTGCGTGTACCTGAGGGGTCGCGGGGAGCCGCCCAATTGGCCATCATTACCTGGGCCCCAGCAGTATTGGGGGGTTGCTTTTCTTTGGCTTCCTGAGACTTTCGTCTCCGTGGTGATTTGCTGATGAGGGAGGAGGGGGCAGGCGGGTGCGGGGAAGGCTGCTGCTGCCCAGAGCCCCACCCTAGGACTCCTGTGTCCCCTGTCCCCAGGGCGGAGGCTTCCCCGGCCTGTGCTTCGGCTGCCGTTGGAGAAGTGGAAACCACCAGCCAGGCCTCGGAGCCCGCCAGCCAGGCCTCGGACGAGGAGGACGCGCCTGCTGCTGACCTCTACTTTGTAAGTCACCCGGGCCTCTCTCCCATTGTGGGTTCCTGACCAGACACACGCTCACGTGGCACACACACTCACGTTGACACATTGCACACACGAGTACACATGCTCACACACACACGGACACGTCACGTAGCCACTCGCACTCACACGGACGTCACACATTCACACTTGAAAGGCTTGCACACTTGCACATGTGCTCACGTACTCGCCACCTGTGCTCACCTCAGCATGCACAGACTCTTGCACACTCACACTCCCATGCATGCTCTTGGACATGTACACGCTCACATGGTGTGTGACCGCCCTGCCCAGCGCCACCCAGGCCCAACCATTCCAAGGCCGGGAGACTTGGAAGGCCCGGACCCTCCTCCGCAGACTGTGTGACTGCCACCTGGCTGGCATGAGCCAAGGTCCGCTGTGCCACCCTGTCCCCCTAGGAAACATCCAGGTCCTCAGGAGCTCAGCCCCACTGGGCCCCCGGGTCCTTGGGCATTGCCGGGCTGGCCAGGGTGGCTGGAAATGCAGAGGGTCTTTTTCTCTTGGGTGGTGGGTGTGGCCGGTGGGCTCCATTCTCCGGGGGACAGAGGACTGCAGCAAGAGGCAGGTGAGCCACATGCTGTCACCTTCACTGGCCACGAAGACATGCTGCTGCTGGACAAGCAGGGTCATCAGAGCGGGAAGGGGCCCTGTGCTGGGGCCCGCAGTTCCTCCCGGCACCAGAGCCTGCCTGCCCTCCTGCGTCTCCCATAGGCGGATGGGCTGGATGAGCCGGGAGCCTGGGTGAGCTGGGTGCTGGGTGGCCAGGGATCCTGCCAGGTCCAGTCCAGGGACCCCGACAGTAGGTCAGGGGTCAGATGGCCCCAGTTGCAACAGGAGGGCCAGACACTGCAGCCCAGGTGCCGCCCCGTTCTCAGACCTTCATCTATGGCTCTGCCCCGCAGGGATGGTGAGCTGGGGCCTGCCCACCACCCTGGTCCTGGTGCCGGCCCCCACGCTCCCAGGCCTCAGGGCCGTTCGGGCGAGCCTGCCCCAACGCCACCGTCGCTGCTTCACGGCCACCAGCGCCCGCCATCCTGAGCCTGTGTTGCCGGGTTGCGGGTCCCCACCAGGCCCAGAGCCGGCAAACCCTGTGCGTCCGGCCACCCGCCGTCGTCGCCCCGTTCCTGGGGGCTTGGTTTAGGTTCTGTCCTCTGAGTCAGTGTATGAGGCGGCCAGGCCGTGTCCTGAGTGGGTGGCCATGCCACACATGCAGCAGAGAAGGCAGTGGCCACAGTGTGACCCCGCCACCCCAAACCCTCCTCCTGCTCGGCCATCAGCTCACCGCCCCCAGCACCTCCCCCCCTGCCCTGCCTGGCCCGAGCACCCTGGATTCCTGTCGCCTCATCCTGTCCTCTCTTTGCCTCCTCCGCCCGCCCGGCCCGCCCAGTTCACAGATGGGAGGTACTGGATTTACTCTCCCCGGCATCGCCGACTGCGGGCCGTGACGCTGAGCTCCTCGGGGACTGTAAGTGACCACAGCAGGCCTCCAGGGAGCCCAGCCCCCGCCCCGCCACCTGGGACAGGCGGGAGCCTCAGGGCCTGTCCGTCCCTCTCCCTCTGAGAAGGGACCTGGGGAAAATGATCACAGCAGCCGAGGGCAGTTGTGCAGGTCACCGTGCTGTGTGTCTCGCAGTGAGGTTGCTTCATCTCCTGGGAGGTGGGCCTCAGTGGCCCGCAGGTGTGCTGCCCAGGCTGAGGGGGCCTGGACATGGCGGGGTCTGCATCTGACCCCGAGCCCCGGGCTGCCTCTGCCCCTCGTCCCAGCCCTCCCGGGCCAGGGACCAGTTGGGCGGACGCTTCTCACTCATTTAGACCTTGCTGCTAACGGCTACCCAAGGGGCATCTGGCCCTCTCATGGGGACAGCCACACAGGTCAGTGAGGGACTGCAAAGCTGCGCTGTTAGCTGCAGGAGAGAGGAGTCGGTGTCTCTACCCGTTTCACAGATGGAGAAGCTGAGGCCTTGGCTCTGCAGGGAGCCCACGAAAGCACATGGTTTAGGCAAAGTCTATATCCAGACCCTCAGGCAGCCATGTGTAGTAATCACTTGTCCCCTCAGCATGCTCGGGATGCAACGTGGCTGTCGTGTAGTGACGGCCACATCAGTCCTGTCATTGTCATGACTCACACAGAGGGGCCCAGAGAGAGCGAATGACCTGCCCAAAGCCAGACAGCACAGGCAGGCAGGCCCGGTGAGGCGCTGAGGCCAGAGTTTCTGCTCTCGAGGATGGCCCTTGGAGGCTCGCCTCCGGCCCCAACAAGACCCTCTGCAAGTCGCTGCGTGCTGGGCGCTGCCGGGCTGCCCCGAGGAGTGGAGACCACGTCCCCAGCCCCTCCTGCCACTCTCTGTCTTCCCAAGGTGGTCCACGATCCAGCAGCTGGGGCCTCTGGGGCAGCAGGTTGCACAGGGTCCTGGAGGGGGTTGACCCAGACTTTGAAAGACGTGTGGGGTGTGCAGAGGAAGAGGAAAGGGCTTCTTGGCAGGGGTGCAGCGGAAACGGAAGCGTGGGGGCTGGATGGGAGGAGAGGACAGCTGGACCAGCAGCGGGAGGGACCCTCAGGCCGGCCTGTGGGAGGACGTGCCTTCAGCTGACTTTAGTGGGGTCATCGCCAGTTTTTGAGTCTCTTCCTCCCCGAGGCCCAGCTCACTGCAGGGCTCCTGTAGGGACCTGCTCGTTCTACACCCTGAGCCCCAGCAGGCCAACTACCCCAACATTGAGCACCTGCCATGGCCACCCTTTGCTGGGCCCTGGGCAGGAGTGGCTCCCAGGGGGACGGGGGAGGCAGATCAAGCCGCCACTGCTGGCCGGGTGTTTATTGCACCATGACAGTCTAAAGGACATGCACGGCCTGTGCCGGGGTCTCACCTTGCTGCCCCACGCGCCTTTGTGCCAGTCGGCAGATGGGCACAGGCCTCCCGGGATACGTGGCTCCGGACCAGGCAGCACGGCCTTAATGAGTGGCCCACAGTGTCCAGCAGCCTGAGTGGCTTACGTGAGCTCGGGGGGCTGGCCTGTGAGGGGGGTGTCACAGCAAGAGCTGCAGGAAGGTTGGGCTTGAGCGGGCACAGAGAGGGGCAGAAGCAGCGGGTGGCCCTGGCCGACACTGAGAGCAGAAGGTTCGGGTCTCGTGGCTTTTGTCTGTGGCTGCGATGGGTTTAGGGGCCCTGGGACACCCAGGCGGACATGGTCAGGCAGGTGCCCGCTCAGGCATGCTGTTCCCAGCAGAGGCCAAGCAGGGGTAGGCGCCCTCAGGCCTCAAGCATTGAAGGCCAGGGGGCGGGGCTTCGGGAGAGAGGAGGAAGAGAGGAAAAGGCGGCCACGGAGCCCTGACGAGGTCTCAGGGCTCAGAGAAGTTCTCAGGATGGCAGCAGACCTGGCAGGGATGTGCGACATCCCCGCCAGCCTGACACTGTGGGGACCCCTCCCCAGACAGCTGGGAGAAGACCAGCTTCCCGCCACCACCAGCCTGCACCCCCTGGAGCCCACGTGGCAGGCAAGATCCAAGATCGAAGTGCTGCTGGGCCCAGACAGGCCTCCAGCTCCATGGGGGGCAGAGGAGGCAGAGCACACCGAGCCCCCGCCTCCCTCCTTCCGCTCCTGCTGCGCCCGGCCACCTGCCGCACTCACCGCTTGCTGCTGCCCTCCCCACCGCTGCAGCCACTCGGCACCCCCCGGCTCGGGGCCCCCCAGGTTGGGGGCAGACCCCTGCCAGGGAGAGGGCAGCCGGGGCGCGCTGCCCGCTCGTCATCCGCGTCCGGGTCCGCCTCTTTTATTTCTGTGTCTTCCTTCCTCCTCCCTCTCTCGTGCCGCCTCACGCCCGCTCTTCTGCGCCCTCCTGCACGCGCCACCCGCCCGCCCTCCAGCCCGCCGACGAGAGGAGCTGGGTGTACTCCCCGCTCCACTATAGCACGCAGGCCCACCCAGCCTCCGACGGCGAGAGCGACACAGTAAGTGCGCCCACGGCCCGCCAGCCCGGCCCTCCAGACGCCCCGAGGACAGATGGGAAGATGATGTCTGGGGCGGGAGGGCAGGTCTGGGCTCCCCCTGCGAAATGGCCCGTGAGGAGTCTTTGGGCCTGTGTCCAGCCCTCACCTCACGGCATTTAGGGTCCCTGGCCCGGGGCATTAGCCTTGGGGCCAGGCGCTGCCGCGGAGACCCAGCGGGTAGGGGGCCGGCCCCTGCCCGTTGCGCCCTCACTCACCCTCTTGCCTTCCGCAGTAATCGCCACGCAGTCACCCACCCTGAGCGCAGCGCCCGCTGCCACCCTGGCCACTTCCTGGAGGCGCTGCCCGCCCAGCTCGGCCCGGGACACGGGAGACGCCGCCCGGCCGCGCTGGACCTCGCATGCCCACGCCCTCCCCTCTGACGGTCGCTGGTGCTCCGGTGGGCGGCAGAGTGTGACGGCCCCAGCGCCGTCAACGACCTGCGCCTTCGATACTGTGAACCTTCCTGAGTGTCCAATCATGTCTTTATTTTGGGTCCTTCCTCTTTGCACAGACAGCAGCTCACGTGTGATTTTTTAGAAAAAGAAAACGGGAAAAAAAAAAAAACCGACAATGGAGAAAGAAGCGGCTCCATCCCGTGCACTTTTCGGTTCTTTGCTGTGCTCGCATGTGTCTTGCTGAGGGAACAAGCTCTGGGACCTGCGCCTCAGCCACTCCGCCCCGCCTCCCTCCATCGTGGACGGAGCGGCTCAGAGGGAAGGGCCACCGGCTCCCCACGCCTGCAGCCGCTCTGGGCTCAGGCTTTCGGGCCATGCGCCAGACACCTGTCCTTGTGGGAGGCTGACCAGTGGCCTGGGGGTGGCTCTCCACCTTGCTGACCCCTCATCTCTCACTGTCTGTTTCTCAGCCACCGCCGCACTGCCCCCGCCTCCCAGGTGACCTGGGAGCAGGAGCGGCCAGGTAATGACCCAAATGTGGACACCCCTCTCAGCGGAGCTCAGGGCCGTGGCCATCTCTCTCCTCCACAAGGACCCCTCACTGTTGAGAAGACAGGGCCCGAATAATGGGGGACCTCCCCTTCAAAGCAGGCTTTCCCCAAAACGTCTGACTCTGACAGCAGGTGTCCGGTCCTTCAGCCACGGGACTCCCAGCCCGCCATGGGCAGGCCACACAGCCTGGAGGGACAGGACATGTCAAGCAAACGCTCCCCCGGCTGGGGCAGGCAGCCTCTTCGTTAAGTGATGGCGATGCCTATGCCGATTAAAGAACGGAGAAGAAGATCATGACAGACTTTTTTGATTTGTCACCTTCAGCAGGGCAGCCACTCCTGGTCCCAGAGCCCCACAGAGCAGCTGCCAGGTGCCCTGCTGTGTCCAGAGGGGACTGCTGGAGCCGACAGCTTTGCAGGGTCTGTCCTGCCCTCACAGACTCACTCCCACCTCCCGAGAGCTGGAATGTCGGTGATGGCCACCTGCCTGCTCTGCAGATCCCAGCAGTTCAGCCCCTCGAGGGGGGAACTGGGAGCCAGCTCAGAGTGGATGCTGTACCTTCTGGAGGAGTTTTCCCCCAGCCCTTGCCCCCCTGGTGAAGCCCAAGACAGCCGGAGAGCCACCCGTCCAGGGATCTCACTTTTTGAGTCCGTCGCAAGCTGCACACGCTATTGTTCCTTCCTGGGACGCGGTTGGATCCCTCCTCGTCCCTGCTCACATGGCCTGCTGGAAGGAATCTGTGGGCCTGGCTGTTATCAGCTCCTCTTTGGAGAGCCAGGCTGTGCCCTAGGGTCCCTCCCCTCAGGATGGCAGCCCCCCGGTTCTGAGCAGGGTCGCTGGGGACATTCCACGCGGCCTAGGGAAGGGGACCCTCAGAGGAGCCATCAGAACAAGCCTGCGGGTGTCCCCAACGAGAGGCAAGACAGCGTCCTCTTCCTTCTGCCCGGGGAGTAAACACACCTGGAGTTCAGACAACTGCAGGCACCCTGGCCAAGTGCCACAAGTCACCTGTCAGCCCCTGACCTGTCCCACCAGGGGGGCAGGCAGGTTGAGAAGACGGAGCTCTGAAGGTATGTTTCAGACCTCAAGGACTAAATGGGGACAGCTGTGTCACTCAAATGCCAGTGTAAGGGTTTCTACCCAGGCCCCCAGAGGCCAGGTGCCAGAGACATCGTGAGCCCCAGTGGGGATGAGCAGAGCAGCAGGCAGCCTTGGAGAAGTGGGCACTGCGTCCACGGCACCCTTGGACACCTGGAGCTATAGCAGCGAGGAGGGGGGCCACCTGCATGGCCCCGGCAGGTCCTCAGGCCCTGCTGGGCCCCTCAGGCTCTCCAGAATGAATCACGGAACAAGTGCACCAGTTGGATGCTGTAGGAGAAATTCGCAAACCTCCTGGATGTGACATTTCTGTTTTCATGTTAAGTCATGAAGACGCCTTTGGAGACCCAATTCGTGTTGCAGTCGTCGTCCTTTTCAGAGAATGGTCACCTCAATGCTGAAGTGGCCCCAGGACCGTGCCAGTGTGAGGCACTTGTTTATTTTTTTCCAGGGGGGCGGGGGCGGGGGCGGGAGGCAAGACCTTATTTATAATGTGTAGTGGACTCATGGCCTTCCCCAAACCCCCGGCCAAGAAGGCCCTGGACCCACCCAGCTGTCATCCTGTCCCCCCAGGATGGAAATCTGTAAATTGCCCCATTTCCCTCCTGGCTCATCTCTGATGGCCGCCATCGCTGAGAACGTGGGTCACGTCTGACTTGCTGTACTGTAAAAACAAAAGGCATTTCCTGAGACTGACAAGGTAGAATCTTCCATGAGTCCCCCTGCCAGCCTCCTCTCACCCACCCCCCTCCACCACCTGGCTCAGTGCAATACTCCCGTCCCCGGTGGGGTCTCTTGCCATGGTACTATTGCCGCAGCCCCTCGGTCCCCACCCCAGCCTCGTTTTTACGGCCGAACTGATTTCGAAACAATGAAAACTGCAAACCTTGTGTGTCTTAATTCTCACCGGGGGGGTCCCACGTGCTCAGCCCCCGAGGTCTGGTGTGTGACAATCTGGAGCGCAGCCTCTTGTGGGCGCCTCTGTAACCGTGCAGCCACTGCTGGCCCCATAACACTTGTATGCAGACCTAGACCCCATCCCCACCCCTCCCTTTTTACGTTGGAGAGATCTCTAATAAATCGGGTAATAAACTCAGCTGCCTCTTTTCCTGTCTTTGGCTCTCTGGTCTGGTTAGGAGTTCGAGGCCCGGCTTTGCACGAAAACAAAATGAAACTTTAATGAGACTTAAAAGTGAAAACAGGACCCAAATGCCTAAATAGCCATGGCCTCCTTCGGGTTCCAGTTCGGCATGAGAAGCTTTTAAAAGCTTCTGACATCAGTGCAGTCCAACTCAAAGGGACAAACACTCCCCAAAGTTTGTATTCCGTCTGCCAAGTGTGGCTCAAATTGAGTAATGCACGGACCCCTTTTAAGGGGAAAATATTTCCTCCAGACTCCCAAGTTTAGAAACCCTGTGTTTCTGAAAGTCAGATCTTGACCCTTGGCAACCCAGTTTGAAATCAGTGGAGATGCAGAACGGCAGGGCTCACTTATAATGGTCTGGGCGGTGCTTCCTTTGAACAAAGATTAATAGAGACGTTCACGAAGGCATCTGCATTTAGAAGATCCCTGGGCCAGGCCCGATTGACGTGTAGGGCCATCCCATCCCTGGGACAACCCATGTCCCACGATAAGCAGGGTTGTCATCAGGGTGTGGGGAGATGGTGTTCTTTGAAAGACTCCCTCTGCCCCCCACCCCCACCCCGCGCCTTGGCACCAAGCTGAAGCAGAGCGTATAAAGCTGGCATCCAGCACTCCGGGAACAAAGCTCGATCGCTGCTCCACTCTGCCTCTTCGGGGTCAGGGGAGGCGAGTGTTAAAATGACTTTCCGTCTCTGAGCCTCAGTTTCGCCATCTATAAAATGGGTTGATGGGGAACTCAGGGAGTCATTCAAGTTAAAAGGAAAAAAAAAAAGGCTTAACCCCTAAAATACATAGGCTGGAACCTACGACCTCGGGGCTTCCCGGCGCACAATGGGCCCGGTACCTCGCTCCCCAG